GTGCCTGAGCCTATCAAAGTTGGTCCAATAGAAAATATATGAAGCATGTTCTAACATCAGTTATACATTCCAAGGTGACATTTAGGAAATATAAATTATAAAATGATGTGGAATTATCCTCGTGCATTATCTAGTGAGTCTGAAAATCCATACCTATGATGAGTTATTTCCTTGGGAAACTTGGCTTAAATGTGATTTTGACAACTGGAGAAGGAAAAAACCACAGGCAGAGGGAAAGAAAAAGATGTCCAATATTTGTTGCCCAGCAAAGAACTCAGTAGCCAGCTGGAATTACTAAGGGCCGAGTGAGGTTTGTGATGAAAACATTAGAGTGATTTCTTAAAACATGTAGAAATGGATAATACAAAAGATACTACTTAAATAAACACAGCTCACACCTTACATGAAATGTGAAGTAATTTTTGCTAGTTAAACAATGAAGGATTACGGACCATAATCCATAAATAATGATTACTCTCTTATATAATAATAAAATTGTTTTGGCTTTTCAAAAAAAAAACAACGATTGCAGCATTTTTTTTTTTTCCATTGGTCACCCTGTGTATGTCTAGTCTAGCTTTAACTCAGTTTCTTATTAAAACTGATAGCAGTCTGTGCTAAAAGATTGATCGGGTACTAACATTAGTTCTAGCAACGCCAACAATGATTGCTACAGAAAATATCAACACTTGCTAAAAGAAGGAGACCACAACCCTACACATTATACCAGTGGTATTTTCTGGGTTATTTCTTATTAATTACAATCCTTCAATGTCATGATTCATGTCTATTTCCATCTAAGTCAAGCCGGCCTGCCTTTCCCACCTAAGGTCTGAAGAGAATTCTGTGAGTGCAGCCCGAGGGTCGCCATTGGAAATTGACAAATAGTATTGAGCAGTTCCATCATCAACTTGCATGCTTCGCCTTAAAGAGTTGATTATCCTTCTCTTGCCCTCATTGGAGGTGGCGTTATCTTTGTTCAGAAAAGGTCCGGGCTTACAGTCAGGCCTGCCTTCGAGATACAGAACTGCAACTTCTCTCTTTGCATAGGTATCCATCTCTATGTAGCATGTGCAATTTTGTAGAAGGTCCGCATTGCTTATAGGGATTAATAACCTGTCTCTTGAATAGATTCCGTGGTCACTCATCATATTATTTAAGCGTTTTATATCCATAACCTGCAAATACAAGAAAGAAATACATGTGCAAGGTAATTCACTTAATACAGAATTTAAATGGAGGAAAATAGTAAAGATTGGCTGTAGCTGTATCCCACCAGAATGTGAAAGACAACAGGAGTAATTAAAGAGAAGGCCTGTAAAAGAGAAGACACTGAAAAAACATCCCCATAAACTGAATGGAGAGAACCATACATAAAATAAAATCAACAAAAAAAAAAAATCTTAATGGCCTATGTTATTTCCCTTATTTGGTTTAAACCATTCCCATTTTGTACCTATTGGTTCCTCAGAGTTAGAACCAGTGCCATGCTGAAAAGCTTTCAATTATTTTGCAATGGAAATTTTGTAATCTAAAACCTTTATCATTAGGGAGAGAGAGAGAGAGAGTGTGACATCCTACTATGTTTCTGACACCCCCTGGCCTCCCCTCTGGGAGGAACTGGTTCTGTTTTCTTCTGAATTCTAAAAGGAAAACAGCATTTCTTACACACCATCGATTGCAATCCCTTACACTATAAACTGGCTGCAAGACAACTGGAGGCAATATTTGCAACAATGCTTTTCTAAAAACTAATTCATGGTTAGTCTTAAGATGCATCTGGGAATGAAAGTTATACCAAGAGGGTTATTTCCATTAGTCATTCTGTTAGCCTCATCTTTTTCAGCAACAAGCTTAATTAAACCTTCAAACAGAATGTCATGCAACAACTTGTACAGCTATAAACCTCGCCATCACAGCCAGCCAATCTCAATCAATGATTCATCATCTCCATCCATTACAGTGGTGGTAATTGATTACAGTTTCCACCAAAACAACTATGTAATGATTCTTCATGTCCTCAATCTAGACCACCACTTCATCCTTTACCTCATTTGTTGATTTGTTTTCTTCATCAATGCAACAGAATTATCATCACCAATTATCACTTCCTCTCCTTAACCCAAACAATACCAACAAAATGAAACTAAGGACTCCATCCAATTGGGTTTCTATTCACCTCCCAACACCACACCAAGAGGACCAGAATTCAAATCATCCCCAGCAGTAATGCAGTATCACTGATACCTTGAATATGATTTTAATTCAACTAAAATATGATTCTTATAGCAATTAAAGAGATGTTTCAATTCAAAACCCTCCCAAAATAAGCAATCAGAAAAAAGAGCAAAATTTCCCTTCTATCATCTTTCTTCCATTTTCTCATCAATCAAAGAGGTCCCAACACCGACATACCTGAACGGAATACTTGACGGCGAGACTGGCAACGGAATCCCCTCTTGAAATCCGGTGCGAGATTGCGAATTTGCCGATTCCATTGTCTCTCCAGAAGCTTCGGGAAGTCGGCCTCCCCACGACATTCTTGAGCTTCCAGGGGGCCTTGAAAGCCCCCACCACCATCTCATCACCCGACGCCACGGCGTTCCAGGCCTTGCACACGCAGCTAGCACGAGCAAGGTCAGTGACAGAGAGCTTCTCAAAGATGAGCCGCAGCGTGTCGCGGCAATTGAGAGCGGAGATATTGGAGTTCATCGGCGAGATGGTGTCGGTGGAGAAATCAGAGGAAAAGAGTGGCATGGTTAGGATTGGGTCGTTGTTGCTGGGTTGCAGCAGCATCCCATTTCATGAGAATTGAGAATCGGCAAAAGTGTGGAGTTCGGCTGGAAAGTTTGAACGGTAGTTGTAATTTTGTGAAAATTATTATGTCTTTCTTTACCGAAAATTCTTATCTAAAATCTTCACCATTTATCATTTTTTTGTATAAACAGTTCATAAGTATTTTTAGTTTTAGTAGTTTTAAATTTTTAATTTAATTTTTTAATTTTGTAAATATAAATTTTAAATAACATTTTAATAAATTATATAAATAATAATTAATTTTTTTATCAAATAAAAATAATAATTAATTTTTTTATCAAATAAAAATAATCAATAAAAATTTATATAAAAAATTTATTTATTATTTATATAATTTATTACATTTTTAACTAAAATTTATGTTTAAAAATTAAAAAGTCAAATTAAAATTATTAAAGATGGTCTATGAAAAGTAATTATCTTTAAAAAATACAATAAGAAATAGATAAATCTCAATGATGCATTGTCAAAAGATAAATTGTTAAGATTTTATATAAATGATATATTTTTTAAGCATTATGTAAATGATGTGTGTAAAATTTATTTGTAAATAAATTTTAACTCATTATTATTATTGAAAAAGATTTATTTACATAAAAGTCTTATATATTACACATACACAAAATCTTGATAATTTACCTCTCCGCTTCTAATTATTAAGATTTATCCTGATTTTTTTTATGAATAGAATAATTATCTTTAATAAATACAAACAAATCTTAACTATTTAAAATATGAAAAAGATGAATAGTATAAAATTGTCGATAAATACACAACGGAAGAAAGACTAAAAAAGGGTCTTTTTAAGTATAGTGACCAAAAAGTAGCCTTTTTGTCCCTTTTTA